CACACACACACACACACACACACACACACACACACACACACACACACACACACACACACACACACACACACACACACACACACACACACACACACACACACACACACACACACACACACACACACACACACACACACACACACACACACACACACACACACACACACACACACACACACACACACACACACACACACACACACACACACACACACACACACACACACACACACACACACACACACACACACACACACACACACACACACACACACACACACACACACACACACACACACACACACACACACACACACACACACACACACACACACACACACACACACACACACACACACACACACACACACACACACACACACACACACACACACACACACACACACACACACACACACACACACACACACACACACACACACACACACACACACACACACACACACAGACATCATCAGTCAAAACGGATTCAGGGGACCTCAAAACGTAAAAATCCGTCGAAAACTCGAGGTCGAAAAAAATCATGATTCCTATACTTTCCTTATATCTGTATACAGATAGGAAAGTAAAAACTGGACGCTTGTACCAAAACAGCTTTTTACTAAATTAGTTTCCGATAAATATATTGAGCCCTTTTTCGTGTACAACAAAAATTTTTAAGTTATTTTCTTTCTTAATATAAAAACAATGAAAATTTTCAATAACACATAATACTACAACAAGTAGGTAACTCAAAATTGGTAATTTTTCAGGACAGCAGTTTTAAATTTGCTAAGAAGAAAAAGAGGCGTATTATGACAAATCGAAATTATTTTTGTCTATTTCGCAGGTAGTTGGAATTCATCTAAATCCTGATTATTTTCAAACATTTCAAATCTTCGTTTTTCATTTTTGTTATTTAAGAACAAGTTATCTAGTTTAAGCAATTAAATTCTTAAAAAAAAAACAAATATATCAAGTTTTCAAGCTAGCAATGAATACAACTTTTTATTGTTTAAAAGATAAAGAAAAATATAGAATAAATAATGTAATTAATAATAGATCTTTCTCACACTTAAATTTAAATCATCAGATAATTCCCTTCCGGTTTCTTTCAAAGGGAGGTTCTCAAAATAGGCTTTATTTCCAAAGGAAATTGGGTGACGTTGGGTGTTCAATAATGACAATAGAACTCAGCTAGTTGTAGCATTAAAAAGAGGGTGCAAAATTCTACCGGTAATAGTAGATAACAAAATACAAAAATTCAAGTTAGGTACCTAATTGTCCTAAATTTTGTACACCTACATCCTTTTGGTAAAAATAAACCCTTATAAATTCTTATGCCTCCTTGCACATGGATATCCTTAAAAATCCTTCGAAAATTCTCAGAAACAATCATAAATTCTTCATAAATCCTTCATACCCGCCTAAGGCGTCGAGCTCAAATTCCGTCTTCGTACGAAATGGCCATCATATCCACTCTTGTTGCACAAACTACTATTGAATCCCCTTGGGAATGGGAACCTACAGTCTTAATACTCAAATAGCTATCAATAAAGCATCTAGATGATTATTAAACATACAGGGTATCTCAAATAAGAATGAGACACAGAACAACTAAAGATTCTCTGACAATTGAGACAATTAAGCGAAACATGCTTAGATAAAATGTTACTCGTTTCCGAAATACAGGGTATTAAAGTTGAAAATTAAAAAATTATTAATGGCTATATTTTTTTTAATTACTCAGTATCATTTTACTAAATTCGGTAAACTTTTTTTAGTGTCATCAGCAAAAAAAATCAGTTAAATAAACTTTACCAGAGGCGTACGGCATCGATAAGTATCAACTTAACCCGTTATAAATTTTACGTCACTCTCCAAAAATTTATTTGAACTATAATTTTAAATTTTTTGATGTTTTTAAATAAATCATGTACCCTTGTTGATTTTCTTATTGTTTTTCGACATAATAGTATTCAAAGGTGGATTTCTTTATTTTACCTATTTTTACAATTTCTTTTATTAATAGTAAGAATGTGTAATCTGTTTTAAAATCCATGCTCAGCGCATTAGCATAGACAATAAGGCACAAATTAATGCAGTTTCAAGAATACGGATTTCTACGATCTCTATTAATTAGAATAGAATAGAATTTATTCACTACGTTATATACAAACAGTACATTTGTAGCAAGTCACAAATAAATAAAATATGTTCCAAGAACAATAAAAAATAAAGGTTCCTAAATATTGTACAGTTACAAATATTTTACAGTAACAAATAATAATATTACAACTAACATAACTTAAAATATATATGTATTATTTTTATTTTTAAAATTTTTAAAATAGTCTGTATATTCACTGACTGAATAAAAGCACATTTCACGAAGAAATCGCTTTAATTTTCCTTTAAATTGGGAAAAGTTTAAATATTTTAAATTTGATGGTAAAATATTATATAAGTTAAGGTTCAGTGAATTTTTCTGGGATTTAGATAATCGAAATTTTTGTTTCCTTAGATTCCCAGCTTGTCTGGTATTATAATTGTGAACATCAGACTGCTTTAGTAGATTTGCACTGTTTTTGTGAATTTCAAGAACTGTATTTATAATAAACAGTGATGGTAATGACATAATTACAAATTTTTTGAAGAGTGGTTGACAGTGCTCACGGTACCCAACATTCGCTAGGATTCTTATGGCTTTCTTTTGCATACGAAATAATTTCATTGCCTCTGATGAATTACACCAAAGAATAATTCCGTAACCTATCTGGGAATGAAACAATGAAAAATATACAATTTTTAAACATTGAAAATTGGTAATTAAGGCCAAACGCCGAAGCAAAAACAACAAACTAGATAATCTTTTAGCAATCATATCGATATGGCAGGTCCATGATAGATTACTATCAAGTTTTACACCTAACAATTTGACACTGTCAAGTTCCGATGATGAACTACCAGATCCAAAATTAAGGTTTTGAGTTTTTGTATCATTTAGCATAAGTTGATTGGCACAGAACCATTTTTTTGACAATTCAATACTGCACTTAGTAGCATTTAATAAACAAGATTGATCTTTTCCAGTTGAGATAAAGGTCGTATCGTCGGCAAATAGAATAGTTTTGCAAGGGTTCATATATTTAATTAGATCATTGACGTATATAATGAACAGTAGAGGGCCAAGGACAGAACCTTGTGGTACTCCACGTGTGATCATTTTAAACTTAGATGAGGTATTATTAAAATATACAGCCTGCGATCTATTTTTCAGATAAGATGAAATGAGTGACAGGGGTACACCTCTAATTCCATAATAATGTAGTTTTTTTAGCAGAATGTTGTGAGAGACACAGTCAAAGGCCTTCGAGAGATCACATAGCGTAATTGCAGTGTATTCACCTCTTTCTAGGCCTACTATTTTACCGAAAACGCTGGTTATAGATATTGGCCTATAGTTATCAGGAACAGAACTATCTCCTTTTTTTAGAAGCGGAATAACTTTTGATTTTTTAAAAACATCTGGAAATACTCCAGTTGTGAAGATTACGTTTACAAGATTGGTTAGTGGTACCAACATTATTTCAGTTGTTTCCTTTATAATCCGACTATTTATCTCATGAGTGTCCACACAGTTTGTGTCTTTTAAGGCATTAATCGTATTCAAAATTTCCAATTCAGTTACTGGGTACAGAAAAAAAGAACTACACGGGGCAGGAAAATTTTCAAAATTAAGTAAATCAATATTTGAGGCGGTAGGAAGAGACTTTATTACATTGTCAGCTACGCTAGTAAAGAAATCATTAAAATTTTCTGATGATATGTTTGTAAAATTGGAAATAGTATGACTATGATTCCTTTCAAAATTAATTATTTGCCAACAAGCTTTGGATGTATTCCCGGAATTAATTATAAAATTATCGTATGCTGATTTTTTACTAATTTTTAGATGACTACTATAATGTTTTTTATATGCTTTAAAAACTGCAAAAGTCTGCTGGTCTCTAGTAGAATCCGCTATTAATTTAAGATTAGATAAAGTACATCTCATTTCATTTAACTGTTCATTAAACCAAGAAACAGGGGATTTTTTAGACTTGACAGATTTAGATTGCATCGGGAAATTTTTTTGTATTAAATTTGTGTGTCTACCATAAAGGAGGCAACCAGATTTGCATCACTAGAATGAATGGCCCTATGCCAATCGACATCAGAGAGAGATTTATTCAACTTTTTAAGTCCATTTTTGGTTATTCTCCTAGAGTATGAGAGTTTCTTTTGCTCAACCTTACCTTTGATTGTGATATACTGTCCTTTGTGATCGGAAATGCCCCATATATAATGCTGTATTCATCGTAATTCGTAATAATATTATCAATACAACTTGATGATGTGGATGTTATTCAAGTAGGCTCGTTAATAGTAGTTCGTAAACCAAAAGAACTTAACAAATAATGTAATTCATTCAATGCATCAGAACGCCCTAAGAAATGAATGTTAAAGTCTCCAACAATTACAATGTTCTTTATTGTTACCGAAATGGATAAAAGCAAATTCTTAAAATTCACAAAAAAAGAATTGATATCCCCCTTACCAGATCTATACAAACATATAATTATAGTTTTTGTTTGAGCAATTTCGATTCCACAAAATTCTGAACTTTGTTCAACATTAAACTTATCCAAATTAAGAATACGGAATTTGATATTATTTTTCAAAAATATGGATACACCACCATGTATTTTATCTGTTCTACAAAAATAAGATGACAGTGAATAACCATCTATATTTATTCTCCGTAAATCTGCCTCATTCAGCCAGGTTTCAGAAACACAGAATATATCAAACTGAAAGTCGTTAAAAAATACATCAATTTTTTCAATTTTATTTGCCAAACTTTGACAATTTAAGTGAAACACGCTAAACACATTCGAGTCATCAAAGATATTTTTTTTTACGGTAATATGCATTTTTGTCGATTGTATAAATAGTGTCTAGGTTTGTTGCTCCGTTGATTCCCCTCGAAGAAAATTTTTCTTGAAATGAAATCTTTTAACCGCTGCACCTTTAGGCCAGATTGTAGGAATGTAAACATCATTTAAATTGTCTAGTGGAAACGATACTTTGTAAGTCGAAGTTTTTTCCGTTCTGTTCCACTCTTCGCTACAAAACTTAATATTAGGAGCTGTTTTGTTCAATATATTTATTAAGTCAGCCGAGGACATATCTGCACTGATACGAGACACATGCACGTGACCCTGTCTCGGTATTGTTTTAAAAGTTGGAGCATCATTGCTACCAATTAGTCGTGTTTGTCTATTTTTATTAAAATTGAGGTGATTCCCAACGGAATGCCCTTTTTTATTTCCATCGATATTATTTGTTGACTTATCGGCTATCATTTTTTGCTCTGGGTTTGTGTTGTTTGTTTTTTGAATCCGATTGATTAGTTTTTGCTGAGTCGTGCTTGTACCTACATTTGTATCCAAGTTTTTATCGAAATTTATCGATGAAGACGGAATCTTTTCATTCCTGTATAAAGGTTTATTCTCAAAACTGGTAGATGGAGTAACTGGTACCGTTGTTGAATTATTTGGATTAAATGAAGAATGTTGTTGTTTTAGTAAAAAAATCAAGTCTGCTTGCTCCTGAGTTCGTTTTTCAAGATGAAAAGAGAGTTTACTTACGTTGTTAAGTTCACTATTCATAAATTCAATTTTCTCCATACGCTTTTCACATTGCTCACAGGTTATGCTCACATGACTGGCATGTAATTTGTCAGAGTCACTATTTATTAATTTCTCACTTTTTCCCGATACATACTTCAGTAGTTGCACATTAGACACTGAAGCTGGCATCTTCTGAGTCAAAATTATATCGATTAATTCATTCTCTTTTAATTTATTTAGCTCGGCTGTAAACACAAGCAATTCACTTTCAGCCATCTTAGATACAATTAATCCTATTAATCCTATTAATCAGTAGCAAAATAAACCTTAAAATTAATATAAAGAGTAAACAGTTATAAATTAATTAGCTTAACAAATTTTTAATGTATCCACCAATTACTTCTATATACTTTTTTAGACGTGCAACTAACGAGTGCCTTTGTGTATTAAAAACGGAAAATGCTACTTTGCCGCTAGAGATAAAAGGTTGACGAGCGGTGCGCCAGTGGAGCACAGCAATTTATCGTATGCAGCTAATAGATTTACGCTCGAATTGCATGCAAGATTTTTTCTACCATCACTATGCAAAGTAGGCTTTTGCACATTTAAATCTAACTGCAAAGTTGACTTTATCTGCTATTTGTCATAATTTCACATTACTGGCACACTCGTGCGCCAAAGTTACATTGGCGTATGCTTATTTTCAATAGAAAGGTACTCATTATTAAAGCTAATTGGTGTTTTGTACGTCTTATATTCAAATTTTACTTCAATATTTTTCTATCCTAATTTCTTTTCTGCTTATTAAATTCACGTTTCTAATTTAATAGCTGAACCTGATGTTGGGTTTCAAGCTGCAGTTTGGATGGAATTACTTAGGTTCTATGTTGCTGTAGATTGTGGAATCCATCGTTGCTCACTAAGACCTCTTTCAGACGAGGATATTGTATGCTGAATATATATTCAAATGGACTTGTTCACACGTTACGGGCTACGCATACAGTATTGTGATACGAAATTTCTGTATCCCGGCACCTTCAGCCGCGGAGGCTGAATGCGTATGTCGCACACACAATTACTATAACGATATATGGATGTTTTCGGATATGAATACTTTTACAACGCAGATTACGCAGGATATTTTTCAAGGATAGGTATCCTGAGTGCATTTAGTTTACTCGATTAAACGGTATGAAAAAATATTATTTTAAAAATTTTAATATAAAGCGAAATTTTAAAAATTATGTTTGAGTATACAGTGTAACGATTAAATTATATGCACGTATATGTTAAAATTATTTCAGGAATAAAAAATTAACTCAAACTACAGAATTTTTATATTTTCACTGTCTTTTCTAGGCATGTTGCAGTATGCCTAGTCATTTAATATTAAAATAATGTACTCTACAGATGCATTTGCGTCAAGGTTGTATAATAATTTTTATTGGTGAAACAACATGAATTGGTTCCAAATTGATTTATGAGTTTTGACTTTAGTAATTGGAATATTGTTTATTGTTTCATTATCTACCCTATCCATCGAAAAACCTCCAACCCTGTAGGATTTGCACATTTTTATTTCAAATACTATTGAAAATACCAAATAATAAAATTAAAGTTATTACTGTTGACTAATGTAAAATACTTAGGTTTGTTTTATAGTACCGGCCTACTTTTGCAACGGATACAATCTCATAGACTCAGGATATATTACTTTACAAATTCAAATGCCTAGGCAGAAGCGTGCGGTCCATGGAAGCGGGGAAGCACCGCTTCCCTGCACTTTGAGATTTAAAAATAAATATTTTTCAGTTTAAAATGCGTAGAAATTAATATTAAATTAGGTACTATATTTTCTTCGAAACATTACGTAAACTTCGTAAATGTACTAACAATTCATTGGTGTAATATGTAAACGCACGCACCACCCATGAGAAAATTAATTGTGTAAACGTGCACACCCTATACTTCGAGTCCGTCGACGGAAGCGCGTCTTAAAAGAGCCGGTTCATCTTCCAATAGGTTTGGCTTCGTGTTATTGACCCTGCTTGCTGCGACAGTACTCAGTCCGTTTGGAAACGAGAAATACGGTCAAGAGGCAGCGATATTTACGTCGCCTTACGCATATTACAATTCGCACCGCGAATCGACGTGTGAGGAAAATCGTAGATTTCGGTTTGTTTTTCGTAGTTGTTTTTCTTTCCTTTATAAAATAGAGGAACTATGCACTGTGCCTGTGAAAAATAATAATGTGGTAAATTGTGTCTGTAGTATGTGCTCTTTGCTGAAAAAAGAATTTTCAAGTAGAAATTTTGAAGAGATTTTCCCTTTTACTGACATTTTATTCGACATTTTACATAGTCAAATGACATTGGCTTTTTCATTAAACAAATTGATGATTTTAAAAATAAAATAAAATAAAAAACGAGATCAGTTTAAACACTTTTGGAATAAAACTCAAAACATTGGCTTATAACCTGAAAGAAAGAGAATTAGAATTGATAATTTCGGCGACAGAGAGACCTCCTATCGTCGATTATGCGCCGATATTTTTGATAATATTTTACATTAAATGAACTCTCGATTTCAAAACTTTAACGAATTAAAATTTGTTGAATTGTGCAATTTTAATATTAGTTAGTACGATTCATCAAAATTTTCATCGGAAGCATTTAATTCACTAAAATTAAATTATGGAATTTTTTTCGATATTCCAGCATTAAAGTTCCAGTTAAGTGTTGTTTATGAAACAACTGAAATTAGTGATAAAAAGACGCCGATTAATGTGTTAAATTTTCTTATAACAACTGGTTTAAATAAGTCCCTTTGTGAAGTTGTGTAAATTAGTACTAACCATCCCAGCCACAAGTGCGTCAGTTGAGCGAAGTTTTTCAGCTTCAAAGCGCATTAAAAGTTTTATACCAAATTCAACAAGTGAAGACAGATTCTCTAATTTAGCCCTAATATCCATTGAAAAACAGCTTGTTAAACAGTTATCAGAAAATCCAAAATTTTATGACGATGTTATAGACAAATTTGCAACCATTGAGGATAGGCGAATAGATCTTAAGTATCAATAAATGTCAACTGTGCGAAAAATGCGGGAAAAAATAAAAAAAACTTCAGTTAAATGTTTATTTTACGTTTAAATAAACCAAGGAAGTTTTTCAATGGTAAGTTTTTTATAGCTTCTAGTACTAAACTAGGTAATAAAGTAATAGTAACACTTCAAAAATCTCAATCTCGAATATCTGTAGTACTGAGGAAAAAAGCAAGATTTTGACAAAATGGTGAAAGCGCCGCTAAAAATTTTCGTCTGCGGCGCTGTGCTTACTGGCCTGCTGTATTTTTATACAATCGCTTCCCCTTTCAAAAATGTCACCGCACGCCACTCTGCCTAGGTTTTTATTACTATGCACTATAAAATTGTGATGAAGAATAAAGTTTTGGCACCGATAAATTATTATAGTTTTACATTAATATACAGTGTCACACATAAAATGCGTATCATATGGATTTTTTCTTTTCTAAATGATTAAGATAAATTTTGACTTTTGTTGCTTCAAAAATGATAATGAATTACATGCAAATGATCAGTGCCTTTTTGTGAGTCCCAAAATTTACATATTTTTCCTAAAAATTGCAAAAATATGGCTTTATTTTTTAAAATTTTTACAAATGCCCAAAGAATTTGTTTATTTTAAATTTTTAACCCGTCTATTTATATATTTTTTTAACAAATTTATTTCAAGTTTACTGCATGAATTAAAAGCTTCTTTTAAATGTTTTATGTTAAGGCATTTTTAGAAATTTTGTAAAATAATGTAATTTTTTGCAAAGTTTTGGAAAAATATGTAAATTTTGACATTTGCAAAAATCACGTGATTCGACATTTTCATGTCATTCATTATCACTTTTAAGCAAAGTCAAAATTCATCTATAGCATTTTGAAAAAAAATCTCATGTGAAGTAAAAAATGTGCATCGTATGGGATTTTTTTGTAAATGCTGTAAATGAATTTTGACTTTGCCATCTTCTGTTGCTTTAAAAATGAAAATTAATGACATGCAAATCGACAATCACGTGACCTTTTTAAATGTCTAAAATGACATTTTTTTCCCTTAAAATTGCAGAAATGGCATTAATTTCGAGAAACTGCTTAATAAAAGTTGCTTATTATTTAATTTTTTACCAATATAGTCCGTTTGTTTTCTGGGTTACTGGAATTTATAAAATATTTTTTTCCTACGACCACTTAGGAAAGTGACACATATCACACTATATAGACCTGGAAAGTGCCCTATATCACACGCGTATGAATAAGAATTTACTTTCCACCCAAGTGAGAATATGCTACTTTCCGCAGTAGCTGTCAGAAAATGTCAAACACATAATTTCTATTTTGATCTATGTAATGTCCATATTAATACTAAAATCGATATGATTGTTAAATTATTGTAAATTAGATCCTAGATATTTATCTTTAACAATTATTTTTAAAATAATTTTAAAATAACTAAGATATATTTGCTTTTTATTCTGGTTAAACACATAAGCGATTAGATCAATCAATTACCGTAAGGCCTGTTAGCTCAGTTGGTTAGAGCAGTGCTCCGCAACCTTTCCTCATCTGAGGCACACCAAACTGCTCCCTAGAATTTCGTGGCACACCAAAATCTAAAATATATTTATAGCAGTGGCGTAGCTAGGTCGGGGATCAGTTCACTCCATGTATACTAATTATTTATGGATGTCCAAACTACCTTAGTTTTTTTTATTGTTTTAAAATGTGAAGAAGCCCCTTTCAGATTTGGGGCATCAAAATTTTCACTCAGGACATAATACATATTTTTTTTTATTTTTTTTTTATTTTTTTTTATTATTCAGATAGAATGAAAAATACAAATAGGTACATACATGAGAACTATACTAAATACTAGGTAGGTATACTAAATTTACTTCTGTTGACACGTCAATAGTAATAAATATTTTGACATGATGATGACTGATTAATGTGATACCTGCGCTTGCTTCGTTGAACACAAAAGTTTTATATTCGGCTCAATTTTAGACAGCGCAACTCTCATTTCTTGGTCAAGATCTTTTAAGCATGACCGTTTATCATTTTTAATTAATACAAGCGTTGAAAAACTTTGCTCACATAAATATGTTGTGGAAAACGGAAGTAGTGTGAAGATGGCCTTGTCGGTGATGCGTGGATATTCTGTCTTGATGGAAATCCAGAAAACATCTAACGGAACTTCGTCGAATTTAAG